TACAAAGTACCCCCCCAAAAATTATAAGTACCCCCAGTCCTGTATGTTGTCCCAGTACCTTCAGTTTTCAGACACACAATTTTTTTTCTACCATTGCAACACATTTGTTTAAACAACTGAATCGTTGCCAGGCGGGCAATGACATTTTTGAGTGTAAAAAGTACAAAAACAATAAAACTCTGTAAAACTTAAAACAAAAATTCAGTTTTCTCCAAATTTCAGTTGTGTTGATGTGCCCCCTAGACTTCTCTTGAGTACCCCAAGCGTACTCGTACCACTGGTTGAGAAACACCGATCTAAGCCATTAAGTGCCAGCCATGCCCCTCCGCCATGTATAAACTAGGCAGTCTCTGCACCGAAGGATAAATGGACATAAATCAGGCATCAGGAATGGTGATACTCATAAACCCGTAGGGGAACATTTTAACCTCCCTGGGCATTCAATAATGGATTTGAACGTAGCCATTCTTCTACAAAAAGAACTTTCACCCAATTACAGAGAGAGACTGCAGAACTGGAGTTCATTTACAAATTCAACACTAGCAACTTAGGCCTGAAGAAAGATCCTAACTGGGTAACGCACTGCAAAGGCAATTTTCCCTCTTTTGATATTCACATTTCCACATCAAATGCTGGGAATCAGACACATCCACCTCGACTTAATTAGCGTTAACACTGGTCCTACAATTGACAGGCACCTGCTTTTGCTATTATGTATACCAGGCCTCCACAACTCGGAAAGCGACCAGAGCCATATTACTCCAAAGAAAACAGCTGCAGACCGCAAAGGTAGATTTGGGGGGGGGGGGTGTGATACTTTATTAAGAATTTTTCAATTAAATCAGGCCTGCACAACATACAGCTCCCAATGCCCTTCCCCTCTCCTCTCCCAGCATCACCCTGTCCCCCTTCCACTGACACCTCCCCTCCTGCCCTTTTCTTCATTGTCTCCACTTGGCCCACTGCCATTTGTCTCTCCTGCACCCTGCCCCTTGGTGCCTTCCCCTTTCTCCTGACCTGACCCCCTCCCCTCAGCACAAGCCCCTTGTAGTTGTCACGGGCCGCACAGTGAGCACCTGTGGGCCGCATGTTGTGCAGGCCTGATGTATACCCCGGATTCTCATTTCCACTCCAACTCAGCTGATGAAGTGGGTTTTACCCACGAAAGCTCATGACCTGATACATCTGTTAGGGTATGTCTACACTACCCTCCTATTTTGAAATAGGAGGGTAATGTAGGCATACCGCAATTGCAAATGAAGCCCGGGATTTGAATTTCCCGGGCTTCATTTGCATAAGCCGGGCGCCGCCATTTTTAAATCCCGGCTGGTTCGAACCCCGTGCTGCACGGCTACACGCGGCACGAACTAGGTAGTCCGAACTAGGCTTCCTAGTTCGAACTACCGTTACTCCTCATTCCACGAGGAGTAACGGTAGTTTGAACTA